TCCACCTGCAAGTCCTATGATGGCAAGTGGAAGAAATTTTTGAGCTACCTTGATTCCGTTGGGTTACCTCCACCGTCCTCAGATCTGTGTGCTATTTTTGGTTTTCTCTTGTCACGGCTGGACTTGAGTCTCAGCCACCCTTCACTTTGTGTGTATTTGGCAGCTGTTTCTGCTCATCACCTTCTGATTGATGGCTATTCGGTGTTTACTCACCCACTCACTAAGAAATTTCTTAAAGGGCTCATCCACCTTTTCCCTCCACTTCATCGTCCCACCCCAGCATGGGACCTTCCGTTGGTCTTGGCGAAGCTCTCTGGGCATCCGTTTGAACCTATGGCCACATGCTGCCTACAGCTTCTCTCCTAGAAGATGGCTTTTCTAGTCGCTATTACTTCAGCAAGGAGAGTGAGCGAACTGTCTGCCCTCCGCTGCAACCCTCCCTATCTGGCCTTTCATTAGGATGGTGCTTCATTAGCCCCTGATGTCTCCTTCCTACCTAAGGTGATTTCTGAGTTCCACTTGCAAGTGGACATTGCACTCCCTGTGTTCCCAAATCCAGAGGATGACATTGAGCATCGTCTCTACACTCTGGATGTGAAGAGGGCATTGCTCTTCTGCCTGAATAGGGCTCGGACTTTTCATAAGACTCCAGCCCTCTGTATTTCCTATGCCATGCTTTTGCTTGGCCTCAAGTTGTCATCTCAGAGACTAAGTGGATTGTGGAAGCCATTAAGCTTTGTTACTCATTGGCTAAGAAACTGCTTCTGAGTCTGCTCCATACTCACTCTACCCGGGCTCTAGATACATCTATGGCTTTCCTGAAGGGCACTTAGCTTTGTGACATTTGCAATGCAGCAACTTGGGCCACCCCTCACACATTTGTGAAGCATTACACCCTCAATATGTGTCTCCATCAGAGGACTTCGGTGGGGCATTTTGTGTTGCAGTTGGTGTGTGTATGAGGACCTGCCAGCACCCTCCTCCAGGTAGGCCTTTTGCTTGTTACTCTCCCAGAGGTGTGATGCACAGAGACCACGAAGAAGATAAACAGGTTGCTTACCTGTAACTGATGATCTTTGAGTAGTCATCTGTGCATTCACACCACCTGCCCTCCTTCCCTGTTACTGTTGGTCCTCGTGTTCTTCTTTGGGACTAGCAGCAACGGTCAGAAGGAACTGGCGGGATCGTCATGCCCCTACCTATAGTCATGTGCAGGGGAGCCCCCTGCATGTGACTCAGGGAGTGGGTGTGAAAATCACTTTAGCTTTCAAGTTTACCGATTAGGGGTCAGCGCGGGTGCACTATATCCCAGAGGTATGAATGCACAGATGACCACCTGAAGATCATCAGTGGCTGCGGTCACACGGAACATTAGCCACGCAAGAGAGACGGAAGACAGGTGGATTTTCCGGGCGCGATCTCACCGGCACATCTGGGAAGCGTAGCGCTTCCGTGGCACAACCAAGGCTTCCTGCCGAAAACACGCAGCAAAAAACTAGTACCTCGGAGGTACTAGTTTCCGGAAACCGCGGGGCAAGGGCGGGCGTCTGATCGCGTTTCCGGTGGCATCCGGCGCCCGCCCATGTCCCCTTGCGAAAAAGGTTCCCCCCCCAAGTCTCCGTGGATGCGCACATGCACCCAACGGAGCATGCGCATTCGTCGTGTACACAAAAAAAGAAAACCAGTTTGATGCACCGCGTGCTTCTTCGTTGCGCGCAGGCGTGTCCTGTGATCAGCACCCCTCCCTACCCACGGAACCTCCACGGTACCTCCACAGAACCTCCACAGGAGGTCTGATCGCTTAACCGCGCGTTAGTTTGCCCCAGGGCAAACAGCCACGCTTCCCCCCTGCAGTTTCCTGCCCATGTGACCGGAGCCAAATACAGGCAATGCTCCCTCTAAGCTGTGGGGTCTTGTGAGCAAAAATTCTACTGGCATTAAAGTTGTGAGTGAGTGATTTGGCTGCTGAATAAATTAGTTTGCTCTGGAGCCATCCTTCCTGAACTGAGACAAAAAGGTGTGAGCCGGAGGCGAAAAAAACGTGAGCTAGCTCACACTAACTCAGCTTAGAGGGAACACTGGTTACAGGTAAGCAACCTGTTTTTGTTCAAAGTAGTTATAAGTTATTAAGAAGCTCACAGGTCTTTGAAATTCCAAATATGAACTAGGAAATTTCTCACATAGGAACTAGATAGGATCTAGCTAATTTATTAATCTCTGCTTATTTATTTATTTATTAAATCTTTTATATCCTGCCTTTTCTGGTAGCTCAAGCTGGATCACAATGATAGTTATAAACATTTTCATTTTAAAAATAAAGTTAAAATAAGCCCCACATCTCTCCCCCCTCCCCTCCTTAAAAGATGTCTGCCAGTCCAGACTCCCTCAAAAGCCCTTGAAAACAAGCAGGCCTTGCAGCACCTCCTGAAAATTTCCAAGAAGGACTCCCCCTCACTTCTCTTCAGGGAACCCATTCCACAGAGCCAGCAGTTCAATGAAAAGGCCTGGGCTCTGGTTGATGCCAGGTGGGCCACCCTAAGTGGTGGGATATCCAACAGATTTTGATTACAGTAGTTGGTGCACAGGGATATATGGTCCTTCAGATATGAAGCTCCTGAGTCATGAAGGGCTTTAAAGGTCATAAGCAGCACCTTCAATTGAACTTGGAACCAGACCAGCCAATGTAGCTGTTTGAAACTGGGCAACATATGTTGCTGGCAGCTACCCCTGACAGTATTCAAGCTGCCCCATTCTGGCCAGTTGCAGTTTATGGGTTGTCTTTGAGGGAAGTCCCACATAGAGCATATTGCAGTAATCCAACCATGAGGTAACAGAAGCATGGATCACTGTGGCCAGATTAGCCATGTCTAGGTAATGAGAGAGTTGGCAAATTAGATGCAGCTGATAGAAGGTGCTCCTGGCCACAATGCCAACCTCCTTTTCAAACAGCAAGGCAGGGTCCATGAGCACCCACAGGCTCTTAACCTGCTCTGAAAAAACCAACTCCACTACATCTAGACAAGTGGATTTAGTCCCTCTGAATATTAGCCTTCCCAGCCAGCATTATCTTTATCTTGTCTGGATTCAGTTTCAGGTTGTGTTTTAGCTACATAGAATCATAGAGTTGGAAGAGGCCATACAGACCATCTAGTCCAGCCTCCTGCCCAATGGAGGACCAGCCTAAACATCTCTGGCAAATATTCGTCCAGCCTCTTCTTGAAAGCTGTCAGTGAAGGGGAGCTAACCACCTCTCTAGGCAGCTGATTCCACCTTTGAACTACTCTTGCCGTGAAAAAGTTTTTCCTACTATCCAGCCAATACCTTTCTGCATATAATTTAAACCCATTGCTTCGGGGTCCTATCCTTTGCTGCCAACTGGAATAGCTCCTTGCCCTCCTCCAAATGACAGCCTTTCAAATATTTAAAGAGAGCAATCATGTCCCCCCTCAGTCTCCTCGTCTCCAAACTAATCATTGCCAGAACCCTTAGCCTTTCCTCATGGGACTCAGTCTCCAGACCCCTGATCATCCTCGTCGCTCTCTACTGCACTCTCTCGATTTTGTCCACATCCTTTTTTAAGTGAACCACAGCCTCACAGCACTGGTTCTGAACCAGGATGGATGCATCTGGAGGCTTGGATAATGAAATATAGAGCTATGAGTCATCTGCATATTGATGACACCAAAGCTCTGGACTGTTCCATTCAGCCGCCTAATGTGTGTGTGTGTTTGTTTGTTTGTGTTTGGTCAGACAGAAAAGAGTGAAACCACTGAAGGGCTATGCCCTTAATACCAACTCCATATTCAAGCCAGTGGGTAAGAATGGAGTGGTCAACTGTCTCAAAGGCCGCTGGAAGGTCCAATAATATCAATAGGGAAGATTTTCCCCTGTCCAACTTTAAATGAAGATTGTCCACCAGGGCATCTAAAGCCATCAAACCCAGGCCTGAAACCAGATTGAAATGGGTCAAGGGCAGATACGTTATTCAGGTAACACTGGAATGAATGAGAGAGTTAATCTTTGCATGGATGCCATCCATTCCACTGATGAGGATAGGTAAAGGTAAAGGTTTCTCTTGCTCGAAACCAGTTGAATCTGACTCTAGGCGGTGGTGCTCATCTCCATTTCCAAGCCGAAGAGCCAGCACTATCCGAAGACGTTTCTGTGGTCATGTGGCTAGCATGACTAGACGCCGAGGCGCATGGAACACTGTTACCTTCTCATCGAAGCAGTACCTATTTATCTATTTGCAATTTCTTGCTTTCGAACTGCTAGGTTGGCAGGAGCTGGGACCAGAGATGGGAGCTCAATCTGTAATGCAGCACTCGGGTCTCGAACTGCTAAACTACCGACCTTCCAGCCTGCAATTCAGCATCTTAACCCTTTAATTTAGTCCACTATTTCATTTTAGTGTAATTGATGGCCAGGTGTGGTGGTGTAATCATAAGAATTCCTAAAACAGACAGTAACTATTTCATGTAGTTTGAGGGGAGATATTTAAAGAAAGGCTATTTCATCTATTCAGAAACACTCCCATCCAATTTGCCAGTTTATTACAATCTCTATCCATAGTAAGGATACAGTCAGGTATAGAATGTTGCTTTCTGTTGCCAGCTTTGTGTTAAATCAAGTTATCTGGAGAATAGAAGATTTGGTTTTTATAATTTTGAAATTAAATGCCAATTTTATTTGTTGTTTTGCTACTTATAGTCAGTGTTCCCTCTAAGCTGAGTTAGTGTGAGCTAGCTCCCAGTTTTTTAGCCTTTTTAGTCTTTGCTCAGGAAGGATGGCTCCAGAGCAAACTGATTTGTGCAGCAGCCAAATTGCCCACTCACAACTTTAATGCCAGTAGCTCACAAAGTAGAATTTTGCTCACAAGACTCCGCAGCTTAGAGGGAGCATTACTTGTAGTGCTATATTAGCTTTGATTTTCAAGCATTCTGGATCATAGATCTATGTGAACATTTCTTGTACAAATAGTCATATTTTATTCTGTGTAGAACCTGCTATCCCTGATCCTGCCCCGGCAGACCCGACTACGGAATCAGATAGAAGAAGCTCTAGACATGGAACTGATAAAGCAAGAGGCTGAGCATGGGGCTTTGGACATTCCCAGCCTTACCACATATATCTTGGGAATGATGGCAATGCTTTGTGCACCTATCAGAGATGAGGAAATACAGAGACTACGAAGCATATCAGACCCTGTACATCTGCTCAGGTGAGTACTATTGGATTGGACAAAGATAATTCTGTAAATCAGGGGCTGCCAGCCCTTCTTTAATGACAGCTACTTCTAAGTAATGAAAAATATCCTGAACAACCCTCCCTGCCATGTCACTAAGTTTTGTTGTATGCTAGAAGCAGAACATGGATGACAAAGAGCACCAGAAACAAAGCTATCAAGCTAAGCAGCACAGAGAAAAATCCTAGGAAATAGGCTTGTTTTAAATATATTCATCACCAAAGTTATCCCAAAAGAAGAAAATTACCTTAGGATCTTATATATCAGGGTTGTCGAACTCATTTTTTATGAGGGCCTTGTTGGACCGGGCCATGTGTGTCATAAAATGTAATGCCAGGTAGCGGAGATATAAACTTTATAAAAGTGCCTTTGCCTCACAGCTCTTTGGAATTATTTCCATACTTTATTTTCTTTTTTAGTGTTTTGTTCTTCAAAAAACTTTTAAAAAACTTTAATTTCTTCTGAGGGGAATTTACCTCAGGCCTTCGGGCTACCCCCCCCCCCCAACCCGTTCCCCCCACTTACCTTCTTTATTGACAAGAACT